TAATGGAACTCTGTAATGTAGTGGCTACTGAAAACATTATTCTCTTCTGAAAATGTATCCAGAGTTCTCATTTCACATGCCAGAGTTCCTCAATGAGAATCCATCTTGTTAAAGATCCCAGTAGAAGGTAGAAGTGGGTCTCCCATGGCGACGGAAGGAACAGCAGAAGCAAACCTTGGATGTCTGCATTGGTGGGGGAGACTTTCTGAACACTGTGGCTACTTGGAAGTAGGATGTATGTGGAAAAGGGTGTGGATGAAATGTGAGAAGCCTATGTTGTTGCCAAAAGGAGCTAGTTACTGGCTGTTGGAGTCTTAGATACCTAAGGTTCTGGTGTGTTCGGGAGTTCTGTAATTACTAACCCCAATTCTAAACATCCCATTAATTATGGCAGACCGTGTCTTGTAGATGGCAGTGCTTACAGTGTGGCCACACTGTATCTTCTGTTGCCTGAAACTGAGAAAAAATTGTTGAGATTATGTTTAGCCGTTGACAAGGGACTTGGCAAATATTGACTCTCATACCTAAAAATAAGAGCTGGCATCCTTTGTCCTTTCATTTTCTGGTAATTCCCTTTACACATTTCAAATTATATATTTTCAAAGTGTTTAAGCCAGAAGTGGTAGCTTAATCCCAGAACTCGAGAGGCAGAGGCAGAAGAGGTAGATCTCTGAGTTCAAGGCTAGTCTGGTCTACAAAGCAAGTTCCAGGACAGCCAGGACTGCATGGAGAAACTCTGTCTTGAAAAACAAAACAACAACCTCAAAACATTTTTAAAACTATTGGTTTCTGTAGGCAACTTGAAAAGTAAGTCTTTCTGAGAAATGCTGCTGCGTTAAAGAGCTGGGCTTCAGGCTGTATAGATTTCCTGTATGACCTTTGTCAAATGCCATAATCTCTCAGATTCACTTAATAAATTAAGACCTTCCAGCAGGGTTGACAGCCTACTAAAGAGTCAAGGCAGGATGCAAGAAATGTCAAAATTGTGCCTTTTTAAACAGCAAGATTTAGAAATTCAATCTTAACTGTTATTGGCTGTCTACTCCATCCATCCCACTCAGGATCGTGTACATAGGGCTCAGAAATAAGGACACTATCTGCCCAGCCTGTAGCAGAGTCCAGCTCCAGGACTCCCTGTGGCAGAGGCTGCAGAGTCCTCCCAGTGCCCCTTGCCCTGTCCTCTATGCCTTGGGACCTAGCCTTGGGCTGTAATTGCTTCTGCACTAGTCACAGCTGTATCTTACCTTCTGATCTTTATCCTGCCCCGGCCCTGAGTATGGCTCTCATCCATCACTTCATTGAACCTGGATACAGACAACCAAGGCCAAAAGGAAAATACAGATGAAATACAATGGGGGTCCATCCTGATAAGTCCATGAAATGGGCATTGAATTTATGTCATATGAAATTGTCATAAACAGACAGTGCATTTAAGCTACCAAGACTCAGAGCTCAGCAGCATGGTCCCTTAGAGTCTCTCAGGATGATGTGGTTGACTGGGATCTGAAGTTCACTGCCACTGACTGGCATCAAGACAGGATGATGCTGTGTATCCCTAATCTGGACAGAGAACAAAATTCAAAATTCCAAGTAGGGCTGGCAAGATGGCTCAGCATGTGAAGGCACCCGTTGTCAATCCTGACAACATGGATTCAATCCTTGGGACCCACATGTTGGAAGTAGAGGACCAACTCCTGTGATTTGTGCCCCAACCTTCCCATGCTGCATGTCCTGGCACACACTGTGTCCAGCACACACATAAAATGCATAGTTTTGTGATTTTTAAAATCCATTTACAGCTTCTACCAAATATTCACTGATTTTGCACCATCATAAGTCAACATGCCTTTATTTCTAAGCTCCTTCTGGTTCAACCCCATTCCAAATTTCCTTACGTCAAGAAAGTAGCAAATGGCCTTGGGAAATTTGGGGGAAGAGATGATGGGAGAGGAAAGGCCAAGTTACAACTGCTATAGTCACACTTTCAAAGTGAGGGAAGGAGCCCTTTGGGGGAGGGTGTTTGATGATGGAGTGAGTTAGCATATTGCAGATGTGCAGCAGAGTGCCCAGTGCCCAGCAGGTGCCCAGGACTGTTGAGCTCCTGTCCTCCTACAGGTCCTTGCCTGGTTTCAGGTCAGGAATCCCCAGTTTCTGCTGAACCTGCCAGTTTGTTGGCTCCTGTCACACAGGCTGTTTGTATTTGGAGGACTCCATCCAGCTGTGGGTTTTCTTCCCTTTCTCCTTTTATGGAATGGGCTCTAAGCCAACGGTACTTCATCTGGCGTCCATGGGACCCGGGCTTCGTGTCCATGGATGAGCTTCAGAGGGTCTGTTAGTTTGGAAGTTTTATGTTTTATTTCTCTCTTTTTATTGCTTACTTTTAATATTTTAACAAATATATATATACATCATCTTCTAGCAAAATTCTTACCAAATATAATCATCTGACTTCAGCAGATTTAAGGATAAATTTGGTATAGGCTGGCCTTGGGATTCTGAGTTTTGAAGCAGCTCTCCAGTGTTCCTTCTGGTGCTAAGAAGATGGCCTCACTTATCCCAATGACACAAGGAGGGTCCCTGACTTTCTGCATTTACCTTCTTTGGTCCGTTAGCTTCACTGAGCCTGCCATTTTCCTATAGTAAGTTATCTGGTCCTTAGAACCAGCCATCCTAAATTGGAATCCTTGTCACGATGGACATTTCCATGCCCCAGCAGCTGAATCTCCATCTTGACCTCTGCATGTCCATCTCGATTAACCATGAATGAGCAGTTGCATACGGGAGTAATTACCATTCCTTCTAGCAGCCAGCCATGGGGCCCCTTATTCTTACAGATGAGTGGCCAGTCTGACTTCCAAGTTCCATCTTGAAGATTTGGTGTTTATAACTACATCTAGTATCAGTTAGTTTTATAATAAAATAGGACCTGAGGCAAGGAGATTAGACTCAACACTTGGTTGAGCAATCTGGTTACATGGAGGTACAAATGACCTGTGTTGTTAGAGCAAGTGACTGGTCAGCCTCTGCGGTGTGTCTAGTCAGGAAATGGGAATTTCTGAGGGGTGGAGAGGAGATACACATAGTCACTGCCCATTAGAGCATCGGGAGAGTAGAGCACCAGATACAGAAGAAATTGTGTCGGTTGTTGTTTATCTGTAACCATTGACTTCCCCTTTCGTGCCCGTGTTACAAAAAGCTAGGACAGTCCGTAAGCCCTAAGCCCTCATATGTAATCTCACCTCACAGTGAGTCAGCCAGGAGCCAGGGTGGACAGTAATTCATCCATGGAAACTTGCTGCTCCTGTGCATACAGTAGGTACTGCACAGTTTCTCGCCTGCTGGATCGGGTAGCTCTGCCACACTTTTCAAGTTTTCTTGTATGTGAAGGGAGCTTCATGAGTGTATCATTCCTGGTCCCTCTCTCTTCCTACCTTGTCGTACTGGGGATGGAAAGTCAATGGTTTGTGAGTCTACAGTGGAAGCTGTACCTCTGCCTTCCTCTGTGGGGACAGTGTTCCTTCAACAGAGTTAGTGTACTCCTTCGGTCTGCTCTTCCCTGTCATTGACCTGGGTAGTGGCTCCAAGCCCTGCTCACCATTGCCAGGTGCCTTGCCTTTCTCCACCTCAGTTAGAAGGGGTGGACAAGGGAAGAAAGAGGCTATTCCATAGGCTTCCTCCAACGTTCAAGCCCCACAGACCTGTGTGACCTTGGTGATTTACTCTATCTCATGAGACCTCCATTTTCCTATCTTTAAAGTGAGAATAATATCTACTCATTGTATGAGGTACAGAGATTAACTGAGATAATGTATAGGGAGCTTCAAGCATCTAGAAAGTATACAATATAATAGTTCTTGTCATGATTTTGCTTTGGAAAGAGACTAAAACTAAGCCTAGTTCTCCTTACAGGTGGGGCCTTGCTATTTGCAGACAGAGTTGGGCCAGTTCAACCCCACCCACTGATGGATAAATCCAGTGCTCCCAGGGAACCTCTCATTTTATGAACTTGGAAAATCTTTCTCTCCAGTTTCCCTCACCAGTTTATTTCTCAGTGAAGATGCAGGGGTGTGGGTGGCAAGGTGCATTTTCCTTCAGAGCTGGATTTTGCCTCTACCCCCTCTTCTAAAGTGATGTTCACACTGTCTTTTCTCAAAATGTCATGAGCATCATAAAACTTTTCACACATAAGACCAAGCTTAAGTGCCGAGGCTTTGGACTTAGTGTGTGAGAGCACTCAGAAGAAAGAAATCACACTTCATTAAGAAGAAAGGTTCTGGGAAAAACCTGTACAGTATACAGCGTGCTAGCTCACTTCCAGGAAGCAAGAGCAAGCTAGACCACGTTGCTGACAGCGTCAGGAAGCTCACACATGGACTGGAGGTTCCAATACAAGACAGTGAAGTGGTATATACTCAGGCTTCGCAAAACGGCTCACCCTTGAATCCCCTTTGTATTGACATGTCCCACAAGGCAGCTCCATGGCTTTTCTGTTGCCTTATGAAGTGGGGGTGTCTGTCCTATAAGGTGTCGGGTTCAGGGAGAGAATCAAGTCTAGAGAAGCCCCACCATAGTCATAGAACATTGGTAGCCTTCCTCTGCACAGGAGGGGGTGCTCTTTCTCTTCTGTATGTATTCTGTGTATTTCATAATTTCTGATGGTCTGTATGGGAAAGAGTTTCTGCAGAGGGGCTGTTATGCTGTGGGTATTGATTTGATATAGGTTTTGCCCTTTCTGACCAAACAAGGACATATGAAGGATGATGCTGTTGTCACTTCTGCCAAGCTCCAATCACACAACCATGGCTTCAGTGTCAATAATGCATTCCCAGGACTTTGAATAAAACAAGACATTTAAACTAATGTTTTTGCTTCTCTCTTGACCATCTCCATCATGTCACTTATTGTTGTCATGTGTAGTGTACTTCTGAGCTGTGGTCACTGTGTGGAAAGGCAGATTTCCTCAGCAATTGCTTACAATACTGCTTGTGTCTTCCATTCAGGTGGCTGTGCTCCAATCCCAGAGTCAGACATAGAGGAGAGATCACTAGAAGAATCCACAGAACTGTTTACCAACCACAAGCACCTCATCGCAGAGACCCCCGTGCCTGGTGAGAGAAAACAGCGGCACTCTGGTCCACTTCTGACATGTTGGAGAGCATTTTGCAAAACTACTTGTTTTCTAACATCTATGTCTTGGTGTGGGTGACTGGGCAGTTTTCCCATTTCTGTGGATATTCAAACCTACTCCTCTCTGTTTCTTCTTCCCAGAAGTCACAGCCCTCCAAGGAGTTTTGGAATAGTCAAAGTTAACGCTGACTAGTTGGAAAGAAGACAACGCCCCTTCTGAGGCTGGCCCTGTGTGGACATTGTGCTCCTACCCTGGTGCTGTGCCGAGCTCACCCCTGGAGGTGACTTCATGGAGATAGGCTCAGGGCTTTTGATTGTGCTTGGCAGGGCTTGGAATACCACAGAAGGGTCATCTGAAAGACGAATCTTTTCTTCCCAGGAAAACTGTTGCTGCCTTTAGTCATGAGTGCTTATAGACAGAGGGAGTAGCAGATGGCAAAGTTTGGGGACAGGCTTTATAATGCAGGGATCCAGATGTAAAATAATTTGATAGCCCATTTTTTTTTCACAGAATTCTTATGTAGTAAATGTATCAAGTTTAATAAAGCATATAATTGTCAAACAATAACTTGGACATAATTTATAATAAGGGTTACACATATGATTTCTCTGTATTTTTTAAAAGAAACTGAAAAGTTTGCTACTCCACAGTAAGACTTGGGTGATCTTGTTTAATAAGTAAAAGAAGCGGTCGGAGCTGTCAAGCTCTTTGCTTTGTTGAGCTAACGTGGAAGAGGGTGGTTTCTAGTGGGTGTGAATATACTTTAGGAAGCGAGTACGTTAACAGTCACCCTTGTGAGTGGTGCCTTTTACAAATCCAGGTAATAAAGGGAGTCACACTTTTTTATTATTATTATTTTATTATTTAATAATAATTTTATTACTATTAAAACAGAATGTTTTATGTATAAGGAATTGCAGAGGTTTTACTTACTTTGGGTTTTGCCTAAGTAAGGATTCAGATGTAATACTGATTAGTTAAACATGTCCATGTTAGTTTTCAGATGAGTCTCAGTTAAATCTCAGGGGAAAGGGGCTTATGGTTTGTTTTTTTCTTAATATTGGAAGCATCAAAAAAATCAAAGGATGCCTCATCTGTTATTTCCAGTGTCCTTTTGCAGGAGGCACAACAGAAAATGTAAGAGCTGTAATTGTCTAGCACACACAGGAGGCAGCTTCCGGCATAGAGACCGGAACAAAGATGTCATGGTCTAGTGCATGTCCCAACACTCGGACCAAGTGGAACAGCTTTCAGGAAAGCTCACCAAAGAGGTGTCCTACTTTTTGTGAGTGTGTGTGTGTGTGTGTCTATGTCTGTGTCAGTGTGTGTGTGTGTGTGTGTGTCTATGTCTGTGTCAGTGTGTGTGTGTGTGTTCTCTTTCCCTCCCTCCTGTCTTTTCTGATAGTATCTCACCACATAAACCGAGCTGGCCTTATACTCACGATCCCTTTCCCTCTGCCTCCTGAGCACTGGGGTTTCCACTCCAAGCCTTGCAAATGTGTCTCGGCATGGTGCCACTTTTGCTGATTGGTTCCCATTGATGTCTCTGTACCATGTATGTGAGTGACCATGTCACTAGTCATTATTGCACCTCACAGGGTACACACCTGAGTACGACTGGTGATGTTGATTTTGTTTCCCATTTCTGTTTCTTTGGTTTCTGCCTGACATACACTGTTCCTTCTGTTTCCTGCTTTGGGATCGATTTGTCCTAGAGTTTATTGTCAGGTTGCTTAGGTAAGATCTCTCTCTCTCTCTCTCTCTCTCTCTCTCTCTCTCTCTCTCTCTCTCTCTCTCTTTTTTAATAGAGACACAGGTATAAACTTCTTTCTTGGGACTTTTTTTTAATCCTATAGATCTGGACAGGTTATATTTTCATTATCACTTAAATCTAGGGGTTTTTGTTTTGTTTTTATCTCCTTCTTGATTTCTGCAGTGACCCGTTCACCACTCAGTAGTGTGTTGTTTAATCTCCATGAGTTTGTACAGTTTCTTTTTCCTGAAGATTTCTAGCTTCATTCCATTATGGTTGGATGGAATACAGGTAGCTGTTTAAATTTTCCTATTTTTGTTGAGACTTGCTTTGTTTTCCTGATATGTGATCTGTCTTAGAGAAGGTAACTTAGGATCTTGAGAACATTGTGTGTTCTTTGGTGTGTTCATTGTGTTGGGTAGAACTTTCTATAGATGTCTGTTAGATTCATTGTATTTAATTCCAGTGTTTATTCAGGTTTTTTTTCTTTGTATAGGTGATCTGTCTAAGGGTGAGAATTGTGTATTGAGGTCACCCACTATTACTCTGTTGGGGCTAATCTGGGATTTTAAATCTCAAAGTGTTTGTTTTACAAACGTGAATGAGCCAATATTCGGCACATATATATTTAGAATTATAATGTCCTCTTAATGGAGTGATCCCTTGATCAGTATTAAATAACCCTCTTTATCTCTTCTGACAAGAAGGAATTTGAAGCCGGGCGGTGGTGCACGCCTTTAATCCCAGCACTCGGGAGGCAGGAGCAGGCAGATCTCTGTGAGTTTGAGGCCAGTCTGAGCTACAGAGTGAGTTCCAGGAACGGCACCAAAGCTACAGAGAGAAACCCTCTCTCGAAAAACCAAAAAAACAAACAAACAAAAATGGATTTGAAGTAAATTTTGTAAGGTATCAGAATACCAGTGTCCACTGCTCTCCTAGTTCCATGTGCTTGGAGTACATTTTTCTGTCCTTTCACCCCAAGGTAGTGTTTGGCCTTGGCCTTGGGCGGTAAGATGTGTTTCTTGGAGGCAGCAACAGGAAGGATTCTGTTTTCTAATCCAATCTGCTATTCTGTATTTTGGGGTAGAGAGATTAAGACCAATGATATTTGAAGTTATTATTGAAAGATGAGTATTACTGTCTATAATTCTTTTGATTTGTCGTATTTGGGAATTTCTTGGCCTTCTTTTGTTTAATGAGTGTCGTGGTATCTGAGTTTTTCTACTGTAGTTCTCTGAGTATGTTTATCTTTCTCTTCAGACGGAAATATCCCTTTCTGGTATCCACTGTAGGGCTGGCTTGAGAGTCATGAATTCTCTTAGCCTGCTTTTGTCATGGGAAGTTTTTCTTTCGTCTTCAATTCTGACAATAGTTTTGCCAGGAATATTAGACAGGTGTAGTATTTGTGTTCTTTAAGAGTTTCAAAGATATGTGTAAACTCCTCTTTTTTTCGTGACATGGATTAAAAAGTCAGCAGTTATTATAATGAGTCTGGCCTTGTATGTGACTTGGCTTTTCTCTTTTGCAACTTTCTATGTATTTTCTTTGTTCTCTGCATTTAATGGTTTGCAAGTAATTTGATGTGAGGAGTTTTTATTTTGTTCCTGCCTGTTTGGGTGTTCTGTGTGCCTCTTGTATCTGGGCTTCCTTAAACTTGGGAAATTGTCTTCTGTGATTTTATTAAAGATGTTTTCTGTGTCTTCTGCATGAAACATTTCTCCTACTGGTATGCCTTGGATACAAAGCTTTTGTCTTTTCGTAGAGTCCCAGAGTTCTTGCACGTTCCATTCATACAATTAACAAAACTGTCATTGACCTTGACTAAATGTTCTAATTTCTATATTTTGTTTTCATACCCTGATATTTTTCTCTTCCATATTATCCATTCTATTGATAAGATTTTCCATTGAAATTTTTATTTAACTTACGTTTTTCGTTTCCCTCAGTATTTCTATTTCTTTATTAAAGTCTATTTCGTATCATGGATTGACTTCTTTCTTTTATTCAGGTATCTGTGGTCTCTTGGAAAAATATTGGTGCCTTCTTGAGTTGATTTTACCATATTTGTAATAGTTATTTTAAATTCTGTATCCAGAATTGGATTCCATCATTTTGATCAGGATCATTCATTTTGAATCATTTGATAATTTTGGAGGAAATAATTTGTCTTGGTTTTCATGCTACTTAGGATTTTATACTGGGATCTGCCCTTTTGGGTAGCTAGGTCATTGGTGAGATTTGCTGTTGCCTTTGCTCTTTTCATTCTGATTACTTCTCTTCTTTCAGTGGTTGTATTTTCCATGTTCAGGAGAAACTAGGGTGTATTACAGGTGTGGCGGCGTTTTTGTCTGTTAGTGACGATCCAGGTACCGGGCTCTGTCTCCAGTCTGCCCCGTGGGCTGAGCACTGACTGCAGCACCAGCCACTCTCTGGTGTTAAACCATTTTGATAAAAGAGGATGAGGTGACTACAAGACACCGCTTGTTAAATACCAGTAAGTTTAGGGAGTAAAGGGGTCCCACCGGCACTGTGCATGTTACTATGTAAGTGTAGTGGAAAGGAAGAGGGAAGCAGTCACAGTGATACTGGCAATAAGTATCAGCTATTAGATGGGAACCAGGAGAGTGGGACATGCACAGGAGTGGGGATAATTGAGGCAAAGTGAAAAAGGTAGGATGGATAAATGGGAGTTTTTGTTAACAGTAGACTTAAAAAGAGGAGGTGACGATATGTGCCCACAGATAAACCAGGTCCACCACCAGGCTTTGGGAGGTGTAACAGTGACAAGACTTGGTACAGGAAAAGAGCAATGAAGAAAGATGGAGCGGGCGAGGGCCGGGAGAGAGGAGGTCGTGTTGGCCTGCTACAGTGCCTCACTCCAGTTCATTATGCCTAAGGTATAGCTCTAAGGGGGGAGCAGAGCTTGTGGAGGCACAAAACAATGGAATCGCTGGCAAATAAGGGATGATGTGGTGACCAGGACAGCTGGGTGTGAATATGAGAGACAATGATCCTCGTCCGAATGTTGCCCTCCTCGCCTTGGCTGGCCTGCTGTGTTATCGCCTTGGTTCTGGGCTGGACTGTATTCCATGTTGGCTTTTATCAGTCCTGTCCTTCACTGTGGACTCCCAGGTGCCCTGTGTCTGTTTTCTTGACTCTGTTGTCCTGTATGCTATGGATGGCTGAGGCAAACTCTGCTCAGCCTTCCTCCCTGCATCCCCACAGGGTTGTGAGCAGCTGGTGGCTGTGCTGCATCCAAAACACTGTTTAGACTTGTATTTAGCTCATGCAGCTTTGCCTTTCGCACTTTGGGGTGCTGATGGGGGTCCCAGCATTTGATGCTGGGAAACACTTCTATAAGATCTCTACTGCTGCTGATTTTGTAGGTTTCCTGGTGGGGATCTGTCATCCCAGCTTACCTAGGGAGAAACTCCTCCGTGGCTGCATGGCAGCAGCTTTCCTTGCAGCCACAGCAAGAAGTCCTGCCCATTTGGAAGAGGGTTAGAGGGATGCAAATAGAAAGCCGGCTTCACTGCAATGGTCACTTCTTGTTCCCAGAGGATATTCCAAAGTGAAACAACATGAAGACATGCTGGTGGGTGTCTAAACAGGACCAACAGGGAAAAGGGAGGACCCAGGGGCCCTGTGAAACAGCCAAGCTGCAGTCCAATTAGCAGACTCCTAACCTTAAGGTCCCTTCCATCTAAAAGGGCTAAAATTGTCACTTTCCCTTTCTCTGAAGCTCTTGTCTTCTGTCACCCCTGGATGTTGAATTCTTTGTCTCCCTCAAGGAATGACCTCAGAAATCCTGTAGGCAAGCACCTTTTACGCAATGGTAGAGAAAGTTGACAAATCCAAGTGTAGTAGAGGTTTGCCACATGCCGATTCCTGGACTGAAGAGCAGCAGATGGAATGATTAAATATTCCTGTTTCCTTTAAATCTCAAACCGTAACCAGCCATTCTCACATCAGACAAACAAACAAAATTCCTTTAGAATCTCCTACAATGGATTTTGGTCACTCTTCCCTCTCCCAACTCACCTCACATCCACTCTTACCTCCTTACCTTACCAAATTCCAATTCTCTTCTAAGAACAGCATTAAAAACCACTGAGTCTCTTTTGTGTTACCCAAGTCCTCTTGGGTGTGGAGTCTGCCCTGGGGTTTGGTTGACCTACTAGGGGTCAAATTATTAAAGAAAATGGACTCTTCCTCTCACAGAAGCTACCAAATGCCAACAGCTCCTCGGCTAGCAGTGAGACACTGTGCCTACCTCCGTCACTCTGTGTCGGGATTTCTGTCTGGCTTGAGCTTTCTCAGGTCTTGTGCATGCTGTCGCAAGCACTGTGAGTTCCTCTGTGCAGTTACCCAGATCTGTTGTGTCTTGAAAACCCTATTTCTTTTCAATCATCTATTACCTCTGGCTCTTAAAATCTTTCCCCCGCTTGTCTGCACAGATCCCCAAGCCTTAGGGAGAGTGATGTGATACAGATGTTCTACTTAGTGCTGTGCATTACCCAGTCTCTTAGTCTCTGCACACATCAGTTATAGCTCTCCATACATATTGCCATCTGTTGCAAGAAGAAGCTTCTCTGATGAGGTCTATTAATGTAACAGTAGGTCATAGAGAATCATTTCAATACTATGTACATTTAGGAGAATATTAGTAGTAGGTTCCCCCCTAGGGCCTATGACAGCTCTAGCCACAGGTTCTTGGCCTCGTTAACACTGCCAGGTATTGATTCTGTCCCATGGAGTGGACCTTACATCCAATCAGAAAATGGTTTGTTGCTCCCATAACATCTGTGCCACAATTGCATTGGTGGACATATCTTGTCTTGGTTCTTGTGGATCATGGGTTTCACAGCTGGGTGAGACTGACAATTAGTCTTCTCCTCCAATAGTGTGCATAGCATCTGCAGCAGTAATGAGAGCTAGCAAATAGGAGTAAAGCTTCCAAGTGAGTACCAGACTGACTTGTCCATGTTCTAAGACCCAGGTATACGGCATCTTCAGCAGTGGGGGTCTTAGCATTACATTCTGAAGAGTAACTAAGATCATTGCAAGTAGCCTTATTTGTGGGGCAGTGAGGAAGGGGTCTGTGGGACCCTACTGGCCAACAACTCAAAAAGCAGTAATACATTCCTGATACTGGGGTTTTCATTTGCTAGCATGTGGTGTCTACTTGGGTTATTGTCCTTCCGTTACAGGGTAACTCCATTTAAACTCTTTATATATGTATATACATATATTTCAGAAGCTTCTACCAGGAAAATTCAAAAAAGGCTTCTCAATTCTTGTTAAAGGCAACTTTTTTGTGTGACAATCATGTTATACTGAGGTTTTTTTACATCAAGAAGTACATTTTCAAAGATACAATAAAGAATTAAATGTTTTGTGGAAATCAGTATCTTAAGCCTATTAACACAATTATTTGATGTTCCTTACAACTTGAATTTTGAATGTCCCCCAAGGCCCATTCATGTATCCCAGTTCTATGATATTATTTATTGGAAGGTATGGAGCCTTGAAGAGGTGGAGCCTAGACAGAAGTTGGACATTCAGTCTGTGCCCTTGAAAGAAACACTGACCCCCTAGCCCAGTAGTTCTCAACCTTGGGAGTGTTGAATGACCCTTTCACAGGGGTCACCTAAGACCATCAAAAACCATAGACATTTACATTAGGATTCAGAACAGTAGCAAAACTACAGTTATGAAATAGCAACAAAAATAATGTTATGGTTGGGGGTCACTGAGACATGAGGAGCTGTATTAAAGGGTCACAGCGTTAGGGAGGGTGAGAACCACATGAGGAGCTGTATTAAAGGGTCACAGCGTTAGGGAGGGCGAGAACCACATGAGGAGCTGTATTAAAGGGTCACAGCGTTAGGGAGGACGAGAACCACTGCACTAGTACCTTTGTCTCCTCTGCCTGGCAGACATCCTGTGAATGAAGTTCCTCTGCCAGGCTCCCGCCAAGATGTACTGCCTTGACACGGACCCCTGATGCCTCTTAATTACCTCAGATATGTTGCTATAGTGACAGAACACTGACTCATAAGTTTAACTAAATAATTTTATTTTTATATTAATCACATTAACATAGAACTCACTTTGTATAGTCATATACATAAGTATATATTAGATATTATATACATGGAAAATATATATATAAAGTTAGTATTAGAACATTGCCTGGTACACCATATAGGTATATAATTTTTATAAGTATTAGTTAAAATTCTTTTATGTCTGTTTGCCTTCTTGCTTGAGATAGGATCCCATTATACAGCCCAATTCACTATGTAGACTAGGCTGACCTTGAACTCATATAGATCCTCCTGCTTCTGCCTCCCAAGTGCTGAGATTAAAGGTGTGCACCAGCAAGCCCAACTTAATTAAAATTCTTTAAGATAAAAAGTATAGAACAGAAATCTGACTTATTACTCTTCATGTTATGCCCAGATCACAGGGACCCCCAAAATACCACCAAAGAGAACGAACCCAATATGTAAAAGCAAAGAGCCTTTATTTCAAGCTTGGAGCTTGGACTCTCTGTCCGATGCAGCAGTGAGAGCAGAGAGCCCCGAGCCCAGGCAGGGTGGGTTGTTTTTTTTTTTTTTTTTATCATAGCAGAGGTTGGGGTGAGATGATTTCTAGGGTCCAAGACCCTGATTGGCTGACAATTGTCTAGGGGTATCTGTAAAACAAAAATAGGTGTGTGCTAGATTCAAGGACATCTGGCCACCTTATCTAATGGTTGGAATGTTTGGGATGTCAGACACTTCCCCCATCCCTGGGCAGATCCCTGGGTAGTGTTAGCTTATGGGCTTTTCCCAGATCCGGGTGTTGTCTGTCAGTAAGCCTGTCACAGAAGCTGTGTCTGGGCCTGTCATGGCAGCTATGTGGTCAAGCTGTTTTAGCCACCCCCACCCCACATTCACATTTTTCTATTATAAGTGAGAATACATTAATACCAACCTTTCAGCATTATTACATTTAAAATGTAATTTCTAAAAAAGATCAAATAATTTGATTAGTGGCTTTAAAGGATTGATTGCTTTTTGAAAAAGGACGTCCTAGATATAAGCTATATATCTATCTTTCCCTGATTTCAGCCTCCTGATTTAAAGGCACACACCAAATGTTTCCTCTCTCCAACAGTGAAGCTGAGATGCCCACAGTGCTTGCTAGTCGTGTGTTAGAAATAAAGACCATGTGACTGTTGAACTAGTTCTGTTGTTTTGAGGGCAGCAGCCCAGTCCCATTACATTTGTATGCTTGTGTATGCACAGTCCTGGAGTAGTTCATAAAACTGCAAGATGCTCTGGGTTTTGAATCAGCCAGATAGCCTTATTACTGCTCAATTTGTCAGAACAACTTAATGAAATAGAAAATACTTACAAAATTGTTACTGTGTGCTGTAGGTGCAGTTTTGTGTTTAGCTTTTTGTACAGAGTCTGCTCCTTCCTTGTAACAACACGCAAGTGTGTATGTCTATGCAGGTATTATTGGCTCTGCTTTACAAATAACAGCGTGAAGGGCTCTACAGACTAAATAATTCATTAGTTATCCCACCCTCCACGTGAAGAAGAGCTGGTGTTTTAATCTAGTTGGATTCTAAAAGCCCAAATGCACAACCATTTGTAAATATATAATTAAAAATACAACAGAGTACATTTTAAAACCAAACCTTCTGGTAGAGGATGACTGCAGCTCTGCTTTCCGGTGCTGTCATCCATTTTAAATGTTTGCTCTTGGGCAAACAGCATGTCGTTTTCTGTAGGAATGCCGTCGCTCTTAGCTGGCCATGCTTGACCTAGACCTTGCTCTCAGTTCTCTGCTTGACTTTTCTTTTCAATGCAAGCTTTCTAATATTTGGTAGTCAAATCTATTCATCTCTTTTTTATTGATTTCTGCTTCTCATGTCAAGCCCATGATGTCTGAGAGCCTTCCGCTACTTCAGTCAGAGCTGAGGTCCTGTTCAGTGCTGCCCTAGGCTTGATCGTGTTCTTGGTGGAGATGTGCCGGGAAATATTTACCATGAATTTTGTTTCTCTTCTGCTTTATCTCTGGTGGTTTTATGTGAAATGCCTCTCAGGTTTGCCCATTCTGTGTTACCTGTTTTCTCTAAGGGAGAACCACCAAATAAGAGACACTACACTGCATTCAAAACCCCTCCCACACCCCTCACCTGCAGCACAGGTGTGGACTCTGCTTTGGGAAGGTTGGCTTTCCCAGGGGTTCGCCAGTGCTCTTGTAACTAGTCTGATGCAATCTCCTCAGTCCTTAGGCATGACCAAACATGCCCAGTCCTGTGAGAGCAAGCTCAGCTTGGGCATGCTTTCCTGCTTAAAAGGACATCAGAGGCTGGCCAGTCATGGAGGCACACCCCAACCCCCAGCTTCCTGGTGTTTCTCAGTCACTCTAGCCACTGGCTTGTGAAAGGGGGGGGTGGGGGTGGTTAGTTCTCAGGTGATAGATACCTGGAACCACCGGGCTCAGTCAGGTTTTCTCTCTCACTTGTTATATGTCAGAAGTTGTCTTTTCTTTTCCTGGTGGGATTGTAAGCTCCATGAACACAATTGTTCTTCGTTTCTCTCTGCAATTTAATAAATATTTATTGTACCAGCAGATCAACTTAGCTTCTAGAAGAGGTCCATGCCTTATAAGAGAAGTAGAAGAGAAATGATTTAGAATGTTGTCTGGGATCTAACCTAATTTGGTTTTGAGAAAATCCACTGTAACTGTCCTACTAGATTTGTTTAAAGTTGACCTTAAAGGTAAAAGCCATTCTTTAAAATTCAGTATTTCATGATTCTTTTTCTTAAATACTCTGGTAACTTGATAATTTGAACACGGGGTTCCAATTTTAAATAAAAATAATGAAATACAACATTGAACACTGAAAATGAATACTTGTCTGGAATTTGAGTAAAGATACAAATTTCTACAAAGTTGACAGTTGCCACAAATATCACCAAATGTATACAAAAGATATTAACTGATGCACCTTGTACATTCTGCTGCATCATTTTTATTTTGCACTTTATTCATCTTTTTAATTATAAATAATTTTATGATTGCATTTCATGTGCAGTAAATTTAAAAATAAGTGGATTTTTTTTCTCTGTTTGCTGTTTTTGTTCTGAGGGTGAATTTCGAATAACTATGGAGCTGGTAGCTCTTAACAGCCAGTCATCAGAGTCCCCGCTGAAGTGATTTTACCACGACCAGTTCATGTCCGCTCAGCATAGCATGGTACCAAAGTTCTCTTGTGATTCATTCTTCATTCGTCTGATTACAAGAATCATATTAGTTCTATTTGAAAACTTGCATTTCATTTTCATGAATTAAGACTGATGTGGACAGTCTGGTCTCATCCTCAGCCCTGTAGCAGACCTCTTGCAAGGGACCCTCCTCTTACCCCACCTCCATTCCTCTGCGGTCTCCCCTGAACCGTGTGCAGACCCAGCCTTCCCCTTCCCTGTGGACCCTCTCACTCCTCTTTTCTAGCCCATCCCTCTTCTTCTATGTCAGTCACCTATATACCAAGAAACACTCGGTACCTGGACCCCCAGTGGCCACACTGGCCGGACTCAGGTAGGTGACAGTTACCTCCCTTTCTGTCCCACGTTATAATCTCTCCATTCTTATCCCAGTTCCTGTAGCAGACTGAATGCAGGGGCCTCAGTTCCCACCCTGTCTCCATTCTGTGGGGATTCCACCAAGCCTTGGTGTGGACCGAGCTTTCCTCCTTCCTATGGATCCTCTCGGTGTCCCCTTCTACCCCGTCCCCATTCCTTTGTGTCAGGTCCCAATACCTAGAAACACTTTCTACCCAGAATTCTCAGTGGCCAGATCTGACAAGGACCAGGTAGGTGATTCACGCTGTCCTTCCTTGGCCTCCACTATGATCTCTCAGTTCTCACCATCATCCCTGGAGCACCTTGCTTGCAGGCTTCCCTCCTCCCACCTCAGCTCCACTCCCTGGAGACTCCGGCTCTTGTTGCAGATGCAGGGTCCCCATTCACCCCTGTCTCTCCAGATTTTTCTTTGCCTTACTGCAACCTACTTACAGGATCCCTTCTTCCCAGTCCCTGGAGACCCCTTGGTATGGACAGGATCTTCTTAGCTCTTTCCTGAAGCTTCCTCAAGTTTTTCTCCTAGCCCAGTTCTCTTCCTCTCTGCTACCCACAGACCTGCAGAAGCACTCTGTACCAGGTAACCCACAGCTACTACACTTCCCAAAGATCCAGAGAGGGCAACTGAAACCAAGGAATGGAACACCCGGCCAGCAAAGACAAGATGAAATATCCACACCTAGGATCACCTCAAGTCCAGATGCTTAGACACCAGCACAAAAACACAAACACTAACAGCCAAGACAATATGCCTCCACCAGAACCCAGTAACTCTACTACAGTAGGCCCTGAGAAATGCAATATAGTTGAAACATAAGACAAGGACTTCAAAATAGTATGAATATTGTCAATATATTCAAGGACTTCTAAAAGGAGATGAACAAATCCCTTACTGAAGTCTGTGAATATACAAACTAAATTTAAACAGTATCTCTCTACCAATCTACTCTACAAAAGGTACCAGAAAGAAAATGTCTGTCTGAAGAGATTAACCACACCTAAGAAAACACAAGGAATAAATAATCCCAGAACAATAAATCAAAAAGGGGAAAACCCACACCATAACAGCAAAATAATAGGCATCATAAACACTGATTGTTAATAACCTCAATATTAATGGTCTTAATTCCCCAATAAAAAGACAGACTGACAGACTGGATTAGAAAACAAGTTCCATCTTTGCTGCAGCTAAGAAACACACCTTACCATCAAGGATAGACATTACCTCATGGTAAAAGGAGAGACACATTTGAAGCAGAAGAACCCAAGAAGCAAGCAAGTGTAGCCATTTTAATGTCTGACAAAGGAGATGTCAACCCAAAACTTATCAGAGGAGATTACAGAAGAATCTGTATACACATCAAAGGAAAATTCCACCAAGAAGCTATTGCAGTGCTTAACATTTATGCTCCAAACACAAGGGCACCAAAGTTCATAAAAGACATACTACTGTGGCTAAAATCGCATACTGAGCCTCACACAGTGATAGTGAGTAACTTCACACTCTACTCTCACCAATAGACAGGTGACCCAGACAAAGACTAAAACAGAAAAATACTGGAGTTAAATAATGTCACAAATCAAGTGGACCTAGCAGACTTTACAGAACATTTCGCCCAAATAAAAAAGAATATAACTTCTCAGCAGCTCATAAAAACTTTCTCCAGCTTTAACCACATACTTGGATGTAAAGCGAGTCTCAACAGATAGAAGAAAGGGGGAATAACTGAGAAAAATGAGACAATACTCGGCATCCTCTCTGACCACCACAGGTCAAGGCTGGATATTATCATCAATAGAAAGCTTACAGACTCACAGAAAATGAACACTCACTACTGAATGAAAAAATGGATTAAGACAGAAATTAAGAAGCAAACTGTGCTGGAGAGATGGTTCCGTCATTAAAGGCTAGACTCACAACCAAAATATAAGAGGGAAATTAAAACTTTTTAGAATTGAATGAAAATGAAAACACAACATATCTAACCTATGGGACACAATGAAGGCAGTTCTTAGAGGCAAGTTCATAGCACTAAGTGCCTCCATAAAAGAAAGAGGAGGAGGAAGAAGAGGAAGAAATTGGAGACATCTCATACTAGCAACTTAATAGCACTGTGAAAGCTCTAAAACAACGAAAAGAAAAGAAAAAGAAAAACAAACAACAACAACAACAACAAAACACCCAAAAGGAATAGATGGCAAGAAATAATCAAACTCAGGGCTGAAATCAATAAAATAGAACAACAACAAAATGATACAAAGAATCAAGGAAATGCAGAATTGGTTCTTTGAGAAAAGCAATAGATTGAAAAACTCTCAGCCAAATTAACTAAAAGATGGAGAAGAACCAAATTAAAAATAAATTAGAGATGAAAAGGGGGCATCACAACAGACAAGAGAGATTTTTTTTTTCGAGATCTGTTTTGTTTCATATTGCTTTAGGCATTTTTTTTTTACCTTTTGCTTATTTATTATGGTTCACAATTTTATGTTTTTATTGGTTTTATGTGTTTCTTGTGGTTTTTTTTCTTTGTGTTTTTTATTCTGGTTTGGTTTTGCTGTTGTTTGCTTTTGCCTGTTTGTGTTCCAAAGTGAGAGAGAAAGAAGGCGTTGAGTTTGATGGTCAGGGGGATGGGGAGGAGAAGGGAGGGAAAATCATGATCAGAATATATTGTATAAAATTATTTTCAATCAGAAATGCAGAAAATTTGATGTGGATCAAAACATCTTTATAACTTACTAATAGTTTATTTTTAAAATCTTTACATAGTAGTTACATGGGGAAAAATGTAATTGCTTGTGGATCTGTAAACTGTAGACTCTGTTGAAATGTGGGTTTGTTTTGGGCCATGTTATCTCCACAGTGAAAATCAAGGGCATGGCTTTCTTTGCAAGGAAAGGAGATTCACTCTCATACAAGGTGTGTTCAAGTTTTTGTTTGCTTGCTTGTTTGTGTTTTGGTTTCCTGTAATGAGGTCATATTCTAGCCCATGCACTCCCCTAAGTTGCTGTGTAGCAAAGGATGACCATGAACCCCCAATCCTTCCTCATCTACCTCCTTCCAAGAGCTGGGACAATAGTATCGATGCAAAAGCCGTCACTCCCTTCTTAAAGGGAATAAGAGAGAGTTTATTCTGGAGCCATGTTGAGTGACCATGGCTTGGGAATACAGCTTTAGGTTACCCCAAATTCCATGTTCCAGTGTGGCAGAAGTTTTATATTTTACAGTTTTACAGAACAAAGAAGGTCATAAATCAAGGCAAGTTTTAAATGTATTGGTGGATCCATCAGAGAGGTGGTTACAGCAAGATGAGGGAAGCTTTTCTATAGACCCATGATGCTCTCGAATGACATTCTTAGCCTCGGGTTGGTGGAAGCTAGTAGTATGCTAAGTTAATAGATTCCAAAAGGTTTCTAATATTAGTCACAAGATGTTAGTTTAGACACAGAGGTAGGTGAGGAGTGAGTTTGGGAAGGCTAGAACTAGCCTGAGATAAGGTAATAATATTCTAGGCCTGCAAGACATTCCAGTCTCTCCACAGTACTGAAGTTCTTAGCAGTCAGTCAGTCTCTACAGACACAGCTTCTTTTCAGGAATTTTCATTCACAATAGTCACGTGCAATTATGCCTTGCTCAGTGGGTGGTGGTTGTTTGTTTATTTCTATTTTTAATGCAGTGGTAAGCTATCTAGCTTTCTATTTCAAATATTTTTAATTTTTCTATTTTTATGAAATTATGAATTGCATGTGAAGCCAAGTGAGTTAATACAATGTTATGGGTTAAATTATCCACTTCATTCATGTGTTGTCCTAACCCTCCATTCCTTATAATGTGGCTGTATTTGGAGATAGGTCCTTTACAAAGGTACTAAAGTAATCCCATTGGGATAGTCTTTGTGTGTGTGTGTGTGTGTGTGTGTTCTGAGTTGTCAAGTACATTCCTTGCAGGCAAGACTGTTTTATTTGACTAATTATCGATGAAACTGTATCCCTCTGCTTATTGTTTTCATGTCTGATGTTTAGGACATCAGAACTTGAGCATTTCAAACAATGGAGTTTTGTTTTTCTTTCTTTTTCTGAGAATTTCATACATACAATGTGTGTAAGAATGATAAGCGGCCCTGGTTACCAGTGCTGGTTACCATGCGGAAAGGTCACGAGGCCTGGCTATGACTACCCAGTATCAGAGCTTTATTAGGAGGAAGAGGGGTGGGGAACAAGAGAACCAGACCTGGGGAAGGAGCACGTGCAAAGAGAAAGAGAAAGATGGTGGGGGGAAGAGAGAACAGAACAGAGAGAGAGGGTGGGGTCTGAGTCATAGCTCTTTAAGGCGCAGGTGAGCTTACGGAGCTACACCACGCTTGCACAGATTGTAGTCACCAGTGCACACTGATGATGTAAGACACAAGACCCTTTGCTTAACTCCTGAACTGCGCATGTGCAGTCATGCAGCTGAAGTTGAGGGCAGAATCCTGA